GAGCGAAGCCCTTCTCATACGGGACCGAGGAGAAGGCGTCGTCGGGGTCCACGTCCTGCAGACTGGGGACCAGGTTAGTCAGAGGGTTGTTGGCCCCAAAGGTGTTCACCTGAGGACAGGAGGACCAGGTGAGAGGGACAAAAGGACCTGAAACTAACTCAGAGCAGGTAGACTGGGTCCAGGTCCTCACCGAGTCCTGCAGTTCCTTCCAGCCCCCCATGGCTTTAAACTGTCTGAAGGGCTCCCCGTGCATGGACCTGCCAATCATCCTCTCCAGGTACACCGTGTGGCCCTCGTTCAGCCTGCAGGACACACCTGAGTTACCTGAGGCTCACACAGACCAGACTCACCAGACCAGGACCAGGACTCCTGTCTCGGATTACCAGAAGTGCTCCCAGGTCTTGTTGGTCACCAGGTTCCCGGTCCAGCTGTGGGAGATCTCATGAGCGATCACCTGAGACAGAAGAACAAGAATCAACTTACCTGCAGCAGGTGCAACATCAGCTGAGGGACAGGTGAGACACTCACGTTGGACAGGGACTTGTCTCCAGCCTGATGGGACAGACAGCAAACACCTGCTCAGTGCTTAGGTCAGAGGACAGGTGAGGACAGGTGAGGACGTGAGGACAGGTGAGGACATGTAAGGACATGTGACGACATGTGAGGACAGGTGAGGACATGTAAGGACATGTGAGGACAGGTGAGGACATGTGAGGACAGGTGAGGACAGGTGAGGACATGTAAGGACAGGTGAGGACATGTAAGGACATGTGAGGACATGTGACGACAGGTGAGGACATGTGAGGACATGTGAGGACATGTAAGGACATGTGAGGACGTGAGGACATGTGAGGACATGTGAGGACATGTGAGGACATGTGAGGACATGTGAGGACATGTGACGACAGGTGAGGACATGTGAGGACATGTAAGGACATGTGAGGACAGGTGAGGACATGTGAGGACATGTGAGGACATGTGAGGACAGGTGAAGACAGGTGAGGACATGTGACGACAGGTGAGGACAGGTGAGGACAGGTGAGGACATGTGACGACAGGTGAGGACAGGTGAGGACAGGTGAGGACATGTGACGACAGGTGAGGACAGGTGAGGACAGGTGAGGACAGGTGACGACAGGTGAGGACAGGTGAGGACAGGTGAGGACAGGTGAGGACATGTGAAGACAGGTGAGGACATGTGAAGACAGGTGAGGACATGTGACGACAGGTGAGGACATGTGAGGACAGTTGAGGACAGGTGTATGTTTACCAGCAGAGTGGGCGTGGCAATGGTGAGGACAGGTGAGGACATGTAAGGACAGGTGAGGACATGTAAGGACAGGTGAGGACAGGTGAGGACA